ACAGTTAACAAGAGTCCACAAGTCTCACCAAGAAGAGACGTCTAATTCAACAGGAACTAGAAAAAGAAAGTAGCGAAAGTGAAAATGCCCCTCCCAAGCCAAACAGCGCCCAACTATTGAGAAAAACAGGGTGAAATCTCCTCACGAGCTCCTACTGATGGCTGCCACGTCGTTGTACTTCTTGGCAGCATCTAGCAAGATTTGGAAATCCTCATCAGGAGTCCATGATGTCGACGAAATAACTAACAACGGACGATCATCGCGGAAACGAACTTCTCGAGTGGATGGATCGCGAACGGAAAAGCGAGTAGCTGAAGTAATAGGGTACTGAGTTAGGGCAATGTTCATGACTAATACTCGAAAAAGAAAACAATAGCTGTACAGCCTTATTTGCTTCATACGCTGGGGCCTTCCAGGATGGGACTGGGATTAGCGCGGCGCCAGGCTGTTCTCCAGCAATTATGGAAGCTGACGGGCGACCATAATTGATGTAGAATAGGCCACACGCTCCGGACCCAGCCCCATGAAACGCCCTAGCGTCTGCGAAGAGCAAGACTGTATCACCGAAAATATCAGTTGAGATGCCGACGAATACAATACATACCATCTTCCGAAGGTACTGCACCAAACACCTGTCCATTGGCACCCAAACCAAGTCGGAGTAACAATTCGTGCTTTTCATTTAAAGAGAACTCCCTGAAAATACCGATAGACATTTCTAGAAGTACTTCAGAAGTTCAAACTTGGACGCTGAGCATAAACCTTTCAACTAGCCGGAGAAAAGAGGTTGCGCTATACGAATAAATACGGTCGTGACCCCTGAAAACGATAGGGCGTGTGTTGGGACGTGGACTGAAGCGTAGTCTTAGCGGTTTTCCAACCAATGAAGTCATCCTGAGCTTGTTACCACGGGCGGGAAAGACTGCTTTAGCTACGTTCCATTGCACACCCCTTCAGGTCAGACCCCCTTTCATTTGCAAGGATCGGGACTGTTGGAAACAACATTTTTTTGACGTGTTCAGAGACAGATGACGTGTCACTGACGTCACCAAACACGATAATGACGATGTGCCTCAAGGGTCACTGATCATGACACAAGTTTGCCCACCATTAACGTGTTATACGACACATCGTCTCATCGACGTGTTAGATGACACGTCATCTCCCACCCGTTAACGGGCGTTACACCCTGCGCTACAAACAGTTTCTGGCGCAGTTCGGCTTGGTGGGGGCACTGAGTGGTATTCAGTCAGACTTGTAGAACCATCCTATGAAGACCGGTAAATTCCTTTGTTCAAGGTATTCAAGCAAATAATGTCGCGGGTTTCATAGGATTCTCTAGAATTCGCCAAAGCGACGGTCGACAATAACGAACCAAAGGAACTAGCGGGAGTGGAAAATGCCCCCTCCAAGCCGAATAGCGCCTGATTTTGCGTATTTCGTAATATTTGGAGGCGATTCTTGAAAAAGGGCGCTACTGAAAAACAGTCGATGAGGCCAGTGGTGATAATGAATGGGCCATTTTTTTTGAAAGAAGTAGTTAAAAAACAGCGTTTCAAGTTCCGCTAATTGGTACAGCAGGTCGTTCTAGCATTGCGTTAGCCGCAAAATAAAGGTGTTGAGCTAGAAGTTCATGTGGAATTGGAAAATAAGGGTGCTGAAGACGTGCAAGACGATAGTCTGGTAGGTGGGATGTAGGCGTGGCCGCGATATCGCGCCTGTAAGTATACAGATGTCGTGGCTGCCCGTTTTGATTCATTATAAAACCATCGTACCATGTGCCGATCGCCAGCAGTATGGTGGTTAGGATGGGAACACTCCAGCTCCTTTTAAAACATAACGCGCACATGGACCGTGCTCATGAACTAACTTGCCGCGCAGCTCGCCGCTTACATCGCCGCCCTTCAAGTGCGCGCACGTTAGTTTGCAACGCACCGTGTCGAGTGCCTAAAGACGATTCGACGGATTAAGTGTGACGGGTAGTAGCTGCCCAGTAATGAACCAGTAGCCCATAAGTGACTCCCCAGTAGAGAAAGAAGCGAAAAACACCCTTAACGATTCCGTGAGCAATGGGGACGGGCGCCGTTGACGACGAATTCATCATGAGGACAAGCACAATCAGTAGTATTCTAGGTGCAACCGATTTCCGGCAAGAGCATATGAAACGCCCTACGACGCTCCAGGCAACGCTATGTAATGAACGCAATTCGCTTGTTAGCCGTTGCTCTTTTGTAGACCGCTTGAAAATTGAGGTCGCCAATGGCGTGCAGATTGATTATTCTCATTTTACTTCGTAGTTCGATCGTGACCAAATGGTACATTCTTTCGAATACAGTACTAATAAGTGCTCGAGCATTTCCGGAGTACGGTACTGTCCCTAAATCGCTCAATCGATGGTGACGCAAAGTACAAATCCCGCTATAAAGTTTTTCGTGGAATTTTCGCATTTGCGGTTACATGCACCCTGTTTTGGGCTGGACATATGCATGGTTACTACTGTAGCAAATGGCAATATTCTACCAAATTGCGCACCATTCAACCACAGTGAAAAGAAGTGCGCTGCACGCCCATCCCCGGGAAATGGAAGGTGTACGACACCCGTTTTTATTTCACGATTCGTGCTTATCTACTGACCTGAACGCGCCTTACAGCGTAGCCGATCGTGTAGCAATAACCGGCTGCATGAACACCCCATGCTCGTTGAAGGTCTTCTCGCATTGCACGAGTTACGCAAAGACCTGCATCAGCACGACGACCAAGTGCACCTTCCCAACGATATACCCATTCAATATACCTGCAAATAGTAGAATTAATTAGATGCAAGTTACTATGGCTAGATGGACAGCAGTCGAAGTAAAACCGTTTGACGGATACAGCTTGGAAGCAAAGTGCTTGGCTGATAAGCGAACCCTGGGAAAATTACAAACCGTCTTTTGAGGGTCTTCCGCTCCTTTTTGTTGTCACCGCTACTTCGACGTTTCCTTCTTGTTGTAACAACTGCAGCATCTCTTTCCTTGATGGACACCCAGTTATCTTTATCAGTTCACAAACTTTCAAGTGGACACCCAAATGGATGAGACATTCACCTCCCTGGTCACCTTCTCCGTTTGACAACATTGTCCTTGGTTGAATCCTTGCCTTCAGAGCCATCTTCTACCAAACGCGGCAGTGTTAGTTGATCGATACCTGCGAAAGCATGTTAAATGAGATTTGCTAATATTCAACTCAGAACAGAAAACGGCAGCGAAGAGCAGGGACTTTGGAATACGCTCGCGCTGTCGTCTACGTCTGCATTTTCTGGGTACAAAGCATCTATAACCAAAGTTGTGAGTTCTCCTGCGGATAGCGGAGGTCTATTTCCGTTTGGCATCGTTTAGCTGAGCCTTCGATGAGGGTAAAAGATGAAAAGAAGTAGGAAAGGGGGGAAAACAAGTAGGAAAGCAAAGGAGGGGATTCGCGGATGACAGGCGTCCTAGGCGAGCGTTCTTACTGTCATGTTCTGCAAACACTCGGTAGGTGTGACGGGGGCGTGGCTTGGGGCGTAGGCAGAGCAGGATTCCACTAACTGTAGCGAAGTTAGGATGGTATCACTGGTGGGAAAAGGTCGTCCTGGCTGTGCTCCGGTCCACGACGCGTCGCACGCCTTATTGGATCTATCGGTTGCAGTGGTCGCGACTGTATTTTGCGTCAGCGTGCGCTCAAAACGCTGGATCGATACCTACACTACTAGTCACTCAAAACGCTCACGTACGCTCGGAGCGCTCAAAACGCTGACAGTGATAACAGAAATCTAGTATAAGTTACATCATGCTCACCACTTTTATCCTTTAAAACCGACCACATATAATTGTGCCAATCAATTACAAACTTTGCATTCTTCAGGCGCGACACCTACAAATTAAGAATGACTGCCTCGTAACTGAGCTGAACCAAAGACCACCTTTGGAAAACTTACCATCCAACAAACAAACATTGTTGGCAATGCCGGCGGATTTTGCATAAATATTAGCTTAACATCCCATCCTATTCTGGAAAATATACACTACTAAAGGTAACAGTAAATGCACCCCAGATGAACCCACCTAAACAAAAGCGCCCATGAAAGCACTATGAAAGTCCATATAAATTTTAGCGGCAGTTGTAGAGCTTCTGGAAGGCGTGCCAGTCGATCTGGAGGGGGCGACAGGGCAACGTATCTGTACTGGCATTATTTCATACCATGAAAGGGAAAACAGACCACAGTTTTTGGCACATTGTGGTAAATCAGGCATCTCCATAAAGAATTACGTTTTATTTTCAAGTCAAACAGGACGTTTTTCAATTCGAATTGGACATTTTTCGAATCAAGTTGGACACACTGTAAACTCCATCGCTCAAACGTGGTGGGCGCGACGGCGTACTTCATCTGAACGTGGCTTTTGATTGGTTATCTGCGGGATACTTCAATTTGAGACAGCTGCTATTCTAGGCTGGACGAAAACATCATAAGAATTATCCAAAAATGAAAATATCCCCGCCCCCTCCCGAAAGTGCAACAGCTGCCAAATGAAGTACGTAGCCACCCCTAATGCATATCGAAATTGGCAGTATTCATCCGTTGGTACAGACCGCCAGCTAGATTTGGAGATGTTGGCAAATTTCGACATTTGGAAAACGTCCAATATGACCCGAAAAAGACGCGTTCAGTTTGGAAATTGTCCCATTTAATGTGGAAATTGTATATAAATGTGAACATACTTGATATGGCTGTTATTATGAATAAGTGGGTGGGGAGTCGAATCCAAATAGCCAACAATGTTTACATTGTAACTGAGTTGTGTTGCTAACGAGTACGCATGGTAACACATACGGGGACTTCGACCAATATCGCCAAGCACCACAACGGCAGCCGTGTAACGCCTGTAATGATCATATTTCCTCCAAATCACCCTCTCACTGATTCCTTCGATCTCAGAGTCTCAGAATCCTTTAAAATTTCCTGGCATGGAGTGCTTACGCCTACACTGTACTAAATCATGCCATTCTCGTCACGCGAAGGGCTTCAAAGCGATGAGAAAAAACGGAGAAGCAGGGAGGTTTCAACCCTGGTACGTAGATCGCACCCCCAAATTGCCGAGTTCGTCTCGACATCCGGTGCGGTTCAACTTTTGTTTTGGCTTCACAGAATACGCGAATATTAACGATACCGCTGTTACACTACGTCCCTCCTTATTGCGAGATAAGTATCAGTTTTCCCTTGGAAAGCCCTGAAGAAGATTGCTTGGTACGGTGCAAACTCGTAAGGGTCATATTTAAGGGGCTCTCGACGCTTTTTTCGTTGCTGTTTTCATGATCATCTCCTCCGCCATCTCGCCATCGTCCTCTCTGCCTTTATAATTTGCTGCCCTCCGTATCAAAGACCGCAAAA